GAGAACGGAGGAGAAGGGATTGCGGCGTGACCATCCCCCCTGGGGAGTGATTTCTCGCTTTCTGTCTCTCTGTCTGCCTGGCGAGCGCACGTGCCCTATAGCGAAAACCTCTCCAAAAAAGTAAAGAAAGAAAGAAGAAATGATATTGTATGTGTGTAAGAAATATAATAGGGACCAGCAGGTGGTGTGGTGGTTAAAGGCACTGGATTCCCACATGGCCAACTGTGGTTCAAATCCTGGACCTAGTGGCTTGCTTTCTCACTTTCTCTCTCTCTCTCTCTCTCTCTCTGATCAAACTGGAAAATAATAATAGTAATAATATAATAATAATAAATTAAATAAAATAATTCTTATTTTTTAAAAAAAAGTCATAAAAGACTAATCAGCAGATCATTCACTGATGTGTTTAAAGTGCCTGGATCCCACATGGCCAACTGTGTAGTTCAAGTTCCAGACCTGGAGGTTTGAAAAAAACACCTGCCACATGTGCATGCATGTCCAAAATTCTGAGAGGAGAGTGGAGTAAAACGGATTGCAGCATGGTCATCACCCCTGGGGGGGTGGGGGGTGAGTGCTTTCTTAACCTTATCTCTGTCTCTCTGAAATGGTTAAAAATTAAAAAAAAAAAGCTTGTCATGAGAACAAATACATGTTTTAAGAAAAAGAAAAGACTATTTAGTAGTGACTGGAAGTTAATGACTATTTGTGTGAGAAAATGATTGGCCAAATGAGTAGCTAAAACATTTTATGAGATGGTGTGACTATGTATGTGTGAAAAACTGATAAGAGGAATATTGGTCGTACTGACTGAATGAGATAGTCTGAGAGGACTGGGTGTGTGAAACTGTTAGGAGGGGCCAGCAAGTGGTACAGTAGCTGAGGTGCTGGACTCACCGCAGTTCAATCCTGTACCCAGAGGCTTGAAACAGGCTGGGTGCATGTGCATGCGTGCCCAAAATGCTGAGAGGAGAATGGAGAAGGGATTGCAGCATGGCCATCCCCCAAGGGGTGATTTCTCACTTGCTCTTTGCCTCTCTGTCTCTCTGGCGTGTGCACATGCCCTAATAGCAAAAATCTCTCCAAAAAAAAAATGTTAGCAGGAGACTAGTAAGGCTAGTAAGGGACCAATGACAGAGAAAATGTGTCCGTGAATTAGTGACAGAACGTCTGAGAAGCTGTGTGAGCAAGTATGTCTGTGAGCCTGTTTGTAAGAGGCCATAGTAGAACCGTGTGTATAGGTTAAAAAACAATTCAAATTGTGAGCTCAAATGACTTGAGACCAAATGAGGCAGTGTATGTGAGACCACAGATTGAATGTGCCAGGCCTAGGAGAAAAACATTCTTCTGGTTGTCCTTTTCCTCCACAGGCCCCTCCTTAGTCCCCTGGTCTGGCTTGTCCCAGTTCTCTAAAACTTGAAATGCTGGATTTCCCCAGGACTTTTCCTGGGGCTTTTTTCTCTCTTCTCACACACCCTCTCTAGGTGGTCTCCAGTCCCAGAACTTGAAAAACCATGTATCCCCCAAGCAATGCCCAAATTTAAAAAAAAGAAAAAAAAAGCTATAGGCATGTATGCTCCCCAGATACAAAGAGAGAGGGAAAGTGACAAAGCACCCCCCGGGGGGATAGCCATGCTGCAGTCCCTTCTCCATCTCCTCTCGGGATTTTGAGCATACATGTGCACATGCACGTGACATGTTTCTCAAGCCACTGGGACTGGGACTCGATCTGTGATTGACCATGTGCGATTCAGCCATCTTAACCACCATGCCACCAGCCAACCCTATTGCCCTAATTTTTTTTTTTTTGGAGAGGTTTTAACTATAAGGCATGTGCGCTCTTCAGAAAGAGACAGAGAGACAGAAAGCGAGAAATCACCCCCCAGGGGAGATGGCCACACCGCAGTCCCTTCTCCTCCATTCTCTTCTTGGGATCTTGGGCATGCACACACATGCACCCGGCGTGAGTTTAAGCCAGCAGGTTCAGGACTCGAACTGCAGTCGACTACATGGGAGTCCATTACGCCAGCTGCTGGTCCCGTATTGCCCAAATTTTTACCACTATCTCAGGCTGTTCTTCTTAGCACGTGCCAGAATCTCTATTTTTATTTGTTTCATTTATTGATTTATTTACTAGATGTTTACTGAGCCATGGTTGCTTGCTGGTGCCCACCTAATGCCCTGTAGACCCAATGGTTAACAAACCAGACAAAAATCCCTGCCCTGTGGAGCTGATATTTAGGGTAGACAGACAGGAAACATAAATACAAGGGGACTTCAAATGTTTGTGGGAAAATAAAATTAAATTACAAGCTTGCTTTGATGTGAAAAACTTGAAATCCATGCACATTTTTTGCATAATACACATTTCCATGAATTTTTGGAGATCCTCCCCCGGTATGTGTTATATGTGATATCAAGTAACGATATAATTAAGTAAGACAAGACTCTATTTTAAATAGAAATCTACAG